CCGCCGCTCCTGGAGCAAAACCCCGGGCGGCTATTGGTCGTCTCCAGCTTCCTGAGTTAAAAGCGGCGCAGGAGGCGCGCGGGGCTGCGGCGAACCGCGTGTGAGCGAACAACAAAGGGAACAGATCCCGCACCTCCGGCCCCCTCCCAGCGCTGCGGGGGCTCCGCGCCCCAGGACCCCGCCGCCGGCCCTCTGCTGCATCTCACAGCCGTTAGCACTCGCCTTCCTGCGCATTTCCACGAAAAAAAAAAACAAAAAACCAGTAAACGGTATCTATTTAAAAGCCCTCAGTCCAGACTAGAAACAGAAAATAAACTGCCTCCGGGGTGCAGCTGGAAGCCAATGCGCCCGATTCGTGACTGCACAAAATTGTTGCAGCGAGGAAGTATTAAAAAAAAAAAAAAAAATTTAAAAAAATCCCATCCGTGAAAACGCCTGCAAGAAACGGCTGGAAAACCATCCCAGGGCGCCCCGGGCCGGGCTCTCCGGCTCTCGCCGATGGACACTTTCTCCCTGGCTGTTCCCTGTTGTTCTCACAGCGCGGTAAATCTCGACAGGCTGGCCAGTGACTCGAGATGTCCTCCTGGCACAAGCATCTCTATTTTAGCTTCATTCTGTTGCCCTCGCACCGCTCCTAAATCCCCTCTTCCTCATCGCCCTCCCATCCCATTTCCCCCCCCGGCTCAGAGCAGAGCGGGAGCCTCGGCAATGTTCGGGCACTGGCACCTTGCCAGAGGAGCCTTTTACACACAGCCTTGTCAGACCGAGATTGTCACCCGGGTCTATTTGCATTTAAATCCACACGGATATGTGAGCTGCTTTCACTGGAGATAGCTTTGTGCTGCCAGTCAATAGATACTTCCCCCCCTCTATTATAATAAGTATTATATTCAACAAACAAATCTATTTTACAAATCCTAACAGCTACTGAGCTCAAAGTATCTAAATTCAGCAAGGCTCGAAAAGACATCAAAATGCCACTGTGTATCCAGTTGAGCATCTATTTAAATACTTTGCTACACCGAGGCAAAATCTCGATTATGTAACCTCGGATAATGACAAAAATCCCTTCCTTGTGTCATTCTGCAGCATACCAGGGGAATTGAAGCTGGTACCCTCTGCAATCTGGGGAGGCAGATGCAAACCTCCACTCTCTGTGGTGCGCTGTGTTGGCAAGGAACACATAAACCGGCTGGGGAGGAAGCAAAGCCACTCCTTGGGATAGGAAGCCTCAGGATAAGGGGAAATATTAACGTTATCACTCCTCTGAGCCACTTCAGTCCTTATCTGTGGCCACACTACAAACCCTGGGTATCTCTGACAAACTGCTGCCACTCAAAGAACGTGTCCCAGACCAGCAACTGGCAGAATTCAGCCCCTCTGGGACCTGATTTGCCTGGGATTTTAGGGCAGCTGGCACCTTCTCTCTCAAGTTACACTTTTAACCCACCAACAGACTGTCTGTTGCTTTTAAGCCCAAATCGACTCCCCAGCAAATTCCTTGCTCCTGATTTTGACCAGTCATTTTCACAAGGCTTGGTGTGCTATAGGTGCTGGGGGAGCGAGAGAACATTAATGATTAAAAATATAAATAATCCTAATATAAATACCAGAAATTACACTGGTCCCGGAACACCTTGCAAGTGACAGTTTAAGTAAACTTACAGTATTGTTGCAGGGTGAAAACAGCAATGGGAAACGAAAGCATTTGCAAAGCAAAGAGGCTGATATTGCTGTCACTGAGCAGTTCCCAGAGCAGCTTTGGGCAAAAGTTCCTGTGCTGGAGGATCTCAACACTGGGGATTAATTAGCAAGGCTTGTGCAGGCAAATAAAGCCAGCAAGCAATCAAGGGAAAGAAAAGATGGCTCAGACCCTCTCACTCTTAACCCCTTCATGGTGATGTGACTGTTTCAGAGTGAAACCTGATGGAAAACCTACGGAAACCATCATTCTTTGAGTCAGGACCATAAAAAGATTCCAGCGAAATTGGGAAAATGCAATGGGAATTGGGTCTGGTAAACTCCTGATGTTGTTGTAGATGTCATTAACTTTAATTTGCAGAAAGTGAACCTTCAGGGAGGAGCTGGGATACAAACCCTGAAAACGGGTTCTGTGGGATTAACCTGGTGTCCATTTAGTTCTGATACATGGGTTATCCCAACAACAGCGGGGCTGTGAGGCTTGCAAGGGAATGTCACAGTGAAAACAGCCAGGAAAGCATTTCAGACCTCAAATATTCTCTTGGGAACAAATGTTAAACGGAGGGAAATGTTTGGAAGTGCACTGTCACACTTCAACAGGGCAATCAGACAATAAAGGCATCCTGACTCGCACCCTGGGAAGGAGACAGGCAGCTCATGTCCAGAAACACACAGAATGGGTTGCTTTAATAATTTAATTTAATTTAATAATTTTCAGTATTATTACACCATATTTTTATTTTTACGCCACTTATTTTTATTATTATTATTACACTGTATATTTTCAGTGTTATTACGGATGATAATAATAATAATGGAACACAAACACCCCCAGGGGCATTTAAGCAAAGCCTGGACGTGGACACTGACATTGGAATGGGCTGCCCAGGGAAGCGGCGGATTTGCCGTCCCTGGAGGTTTTTAAGATGAGACTGGATGTGGCACTGCGTGCCATGGTCTGGGAACCACGGCGGGGTTGGATCAAGGGTTGAACTCGATGACCTCGGAGGTCTCTTCCAACCCGGTTGATTCCACGATTCCATGACGCTCAGTGGCACAGTTTAGTTGACAGGGAGGTGTTTCGGTCACGGGTCGGACTCGATGGCCTCAGAGGTCTTTTCCAAGCTCAGTGATCCCGCGATTCTGGGTGTGAAAGAGGGGCAAACCCCGCCGGAGCGCTGCCCGGACCCGACCCGGCCCTACTCCGC